GCTAGCAAGATGCAATTCCTTCTGCCAAGGGGCTCATGTTCTGGAAAGAGAAATACATATAAATCAATAAATTTGTATACACCACCTTAAGTCTAATAATCAAAGTATGCTTAAGTTCTGAAAGTGGGGAGAGATTAACACTGTCACAGAGATAGTGTAAGATGGTGATGAAAATCCTTCTAGAGGAAGCAATGACTAAGTTGAACATTGATGGATGAATGAGGGTTTTTCTGGGTGTTAGGGAAGGCGTGGAGGAGTAATATTGCAGGGAGAGGTCACTGCAAGTACAAAGGCATAGAGGCATAGAGGAAAAAATACTGTGTATCTAGGGAACTAGAAGAAGGTTGAATTGGCTGGAATGCGAAGTTCAAGGTGAAGAGAGGCTGGGAGCTGAGTGGAGCAGATGATAAAAGGTTTTATATGTCCTGCTTCAGGCCTGGGCTTTATTTCAAAGGAGAGCCAGTGAAAGATTTTAAGTAAGGGAAAGTTGTGATCAGACTTAAGTTTGGAAAATATCACTCCGGTTGCCATGTGGAGATACATTGGAAAGAGGAGAAGGCAAGAGGCAAGAAACCCAATCAAAAGTTATTGAAACCATTACTGAGAGCCTGAATTAAGATGATAGCAGAGGAAGTAGAAAAGAAAGCATGGATTTAAGAGATAGAAATAGCAAGCCCCAGTGACAAACTGGTAATAGTGTCTGAGAGAAGGCAGAGTCTGGGAGGCTGGGAGATGTGTTTCCATCAATTAAGATTAGGGAACATTGGAAAACAGAGAAGGTGGGAAAAAGTGATGAGATCAATTTTGGCATATTGAAGCGAAGGGCTTGGGAGATAATGATGGAAACCTCCAGGGAGAAGTTGGATATCTTGGCCTGGGAATTAGCAGAGAGGTCTAGCCTTTATCTATAGATTTGGGAGTCAACAACATATAGAGGGGTATTTAAAACAACAGGGACTCATTCAACTGTTGAGGGAAAAGGTTTAAAGTGAAAAAGTGGCCAAGAACAGAATCCTCAGGAACATCAACTTCTAAGGGGAGGACAGAGGAAAGCAAACCAACAACTGACACTGAGAATGTATGATCAGAGAGGTAAGCCAAAAGAACCAGGAAAAAGAGTAGCCTCCAGAGTCAAAGAGTGAAAAGAGAGGGATGATCAAAGGTAGCAAAAGCCATGATAAGATCAAGTAAGAAAAGGACTTAGACACATTTGTGAGTTGGGTAGTTTGGAGGTCATTGTTGCCCAGAGAAAGGGCAATTTTAATGATAACAATGATAGGGTGTGGGATGGGTAGAAATCAGATTATAGTGGTTTGATAAGTGGATAGGAGGTGAGGGAGTGTAGACACATGTATAGACTACTCTTTCAATGAGTTTGACTGTGAATACCCAAATCTCTCTGCACATGAGGCAAGGCCATGCCCACACTAACCTGTAGATGGAGGACTGGAGTAGATGGAGGCATCTGTTGAAGGCAGGTGAGTGTTTAGAGCTGAAAGTGAAGTGAGAAAGTGACTCCAGTAAGCCAAATTGGTGAGTTTAAAGGGGTCCCCAAAGGTGAGAGGCCAGAGCCAGTGTCTGAAGCAGGTTAGGGAACCAAGACAGCACAGCTATATAGGGAGTTTGTAGGCAGGTACTCAAGAAGAATAAGATTGTGTATGCTGCTGAGTCTGCAGTTCAAGGGATTGATCAGGGGCCCAGGCTCAGTGGGGGAGGGAGGGGAACTAATAATGGGGAGGGGCAAAGTCCTGGTCATTGTGATGGGGTCTTGGGACAGATGTAGTAAAAGTAGGGCAGTTTGAGAACTAAGAGACTAGCAGGTGATGGTTTTATATACATAAAGATTTCAGACAGAGAATGGTTCCAGGTGATAAAGTCTGTTGCATGGCCATGGGAGTGGACTGATGAGTAACAGATGCAGGTGTTTGAAACTGAGGCAGTCAAGGTTCTGGGAAGCTACAGTGTTGGTGGAATCCTCCTCATGGGTGCTGAAGTCACCCAGGATGATGGCAGAAGTTGGATTCAAGGAAAAGATCATGCCTAAGTCTTTGATGAACATGGAAGAATGTTCAGGAGATGACAATCATCAGTAAGAAGTAAAAGAACAGAAAAGCTAGATGAGGTAAACTTCAAAGCAGGAAAGTGTTTTGCACAAGAGTGTACATGTAATGGGCATTGGGAAGGATATCTTCAACTCCTCCTGGACCTGCTGTACATTTGGGAGGACTGCAAAGGAAGTGGTATCCTTTAGGTAGGGACAAGAGGTGGAAAGTTCCATTTCAGTGGAAGTATGTAACAAGAAAAGAATATCTTTACCATATACATGTAAAAACTATATGTTCCCAGAAACTAAGGATCATCTTTTATTTTCTGCTAAGACTATTGAATTAAGGGTTTCCAGGGAATCACAAAAGACAGTTGTACTGACTGGGTAGTATTTAATACGATCAGGTCTTAAATAAGAAGCCATGAACATAAACATTTAAAACCAAATATATAATAAATAATCATTAAGTTATAAAGTACATAGTTCATATTAAAACTAAATTTTCAGATGCAAATGTAAATACAACAGAGCAATAATATAAAATAATGCTACCAGTTTATACAAGTGTCCAAAGGAGACACTTTCAGCTAAAATAGTAAAAATCATGATTAATTTTCCCTGAACACTCATCACCTACAGCAATGTTTTCCTTGCTGCTTTCCTTCCTTCCTTCCGTCCTTCCTCTCTTCCTTCCTTCCTTCCCTTTTTTTGAAATGGTTTCCTTGTTCCTTCAGTGAGTGTTGCTACAAATGCTATTGAGATAATGTTGAGCAACTGAACATCAGATTCAGTAGAAATTTTTACTCAGAAGTATGGTCAGATAGTCCTGTAAGAGTATCCAGAACTTTAGAGACTCATAGACACATAAAGCTCTAAAAAAGGCAGAATAGACCTTAGAGATTAAATCCAACACCCTCATTCTATAGATAAGGAAATGGAAACCCAAAACTTTTAAGCAAGTGACCACGATTTCATAGCCAGCCAGATTTCAGGTCTCCTATATCACCATCCACAGATGAATAGTCATGTTTATGGTTAGCCTTCTATCCCTTTAGAGGGCTGGGTAAGTCTTGAACACAGAACAGCGAAGATGGAGCTGGTCAAGTCTCACTTCTTCATCTTGTTTATTCCGATGCATTGCTTTTCTTGGGATGCTGCTAGGATCTTTACCAAAGTCTTTAAATTCAGTCTAGTGAAAGCTCTTAACCAACACACCATTAAATTATTTTTACTTTTAAGGTAGAATCTCTAGTCAAAAGGATTAGAACAGAGATTTTTTTTAACAGTAAACACACCAAAATAAATATGTTATTTTAAATATAAAATCACAGTGTCAAAGAAGTCAACAACAATAATGCCAGAAACAAGAAATAAAGACTCTATCTTCCCCAAGTCAACTTTGTGCTTGCCTTCCACTTTCATCCCAACACCCTGGCCTGGCACCACTTGACACTTAGGCGGGCTTTAGATGCGTGTTATCACCATTGTGCATGTATTTACATGATTCCTTTGTAATAATATTTTCAAATTTTAAAACAGAGTACCTTATTTCTGATGATAAAACATTTCATTGAGATTTGATGAAATAATTGACTCCTAATACCTTTTAGAACTATAAATAATCTGTACTTGTTTTTAAAATACTTTCAAGTAGATAATTTTTCTTCTCAGAGTATAAAGCATTTCCCACACAACATCCTCTTGCACACTCACAGCCATTTTAACAATAAGAGATTCTCAAATAGCTTATAACATTCTAGTGAAAAATTTATTTTTCTAGAGTTTTTAATTTCATATTTAAGTAAACTGCTGGAGTTGATATGAAATGGCAGTTAGAGCAGGTTGCTTGTTTTTACTACCCATGGTTGAAAGATTGGAATGTTTATGCAAAAGTCTGTTTTCTATTAGGACAGGAGTCCTAGCCTCTTGATTTGTCTCCTGATTTTGGTTTTATATAGGTGATTGAATTTGCCTTATGTAAAGCATGCAAACACAAAGAGTCTGTCATTTTAAAAAGAAGAAAGGAAGATAGAAGGAAACAGACATTTGGAATTACTAGCTCACTTCCCTACAATTATAAAAATTTGAGAAGAGAGCTACAAAACTTTTTAAAAACGCATTTGGTTGCATAAGACCATCTGATGTATGTCCCTCTATAGATTTTAATTGCCATTTCCACAAGCTTAAAGTGTTAGCTTATAAGGGAACTCGAGTTGGGGAAGGTACTATTAAACCCACTTAAAGAAAAAAAGACTAAAAGAGCCTATTCCATAAATACATTCATATCTATAGTATTTAAATATTTTGATAAATCCCAATAAAGAAGCAAGACTTTTTTGTAGCCATCTGGTAAAGCTATCCCTCAGTACATAAATAAATTATATATTTATATGTTAGACATTCCGAGATAAAAAGTAAACTCTTCAGATATACATTTTTAAACACTCATTTTCATTTCCTTAAAAGAATAAAGACTTCAACTTTTCATTTCGACCCTGTACTTCAATATTTTTCAGCTTGAATGAAGGTATATAACTTTTAAGTTATGATTATCAGAGACCTCATTCTTGTGGTAATCAAGATCAAGGCTAATATAAGATCAATAAATTCCCAAATTGTATTTTTGGTTCAAATTTTTAAGCTTTTCCCCCAACCAGGAAATGTCATAGTTGGGCAGTAAGATAAAGTAAAAACTTCAGAAGTCATAAAAATCCATAACGTAGGAAATTAGACTCTAATTGAGTAGAAAGTTTTTTTCAAGTTGACCAAACACAGAGCATGTAGATCAAACTGAAGTACTGCATAGTAATTTGGGGGAAATAGACCTGACTTTGAACACTTATCTGAGGTTTTTCCCCATCGCTAATATATTGTACTCCTCCATTTGGAATACCAAGAAGTGAGTTTCACTGCTGTGTTAGAGTATGTAATATAGTGTCCAGCTTCAAGTGAGATCCTCAGGAATCTTCATATTCCATGGGTTCTAGAGAGATGCTGATGAATCATCTGTGAAAATAGTACACCATGAGTAACTTAAACATAAGAAGCAATCTGGACAGATGATGATGAAGTAGAAAATCAAATGTAATTTAAGTTAGATACCTTTTGGATGAGTGATTTCAATCTTTCTAGGAATTCTTTGGGTGGCTTTTTCTCATAAGAATCACATGAAGGGCACGTCTAGAAATCAATGAAAAAGTAACATTCTTCTTTAAAACTTTTTTCCTATTTAATAAAATGTTCATTTAAAATTTACTTTTTCAGGAAAACAGTATGGAGATTCCTCAAAATATTAAGGATAGAACTACCATATGATCCAGCTATTCCACTGCTGGCTATTTATCCAAAGAACATGAAAACACGAACGTGTAAAGATACATGCACCCCTATGTTCACTGCAGCATTATTCACGATAGGCAAGGCTTGGAAGCAACCTAGGTACCCATCAAGGGACGAATGGATAAAGAAGATGTGGTAAACATACACAATGGAATACTACTCAGCCATAAGAAACAATGAAATCCGGCCATTTGTGACAACATGGATGGACCTCGAGGGTATTAGGCTAAGCGAAATAAGTCAGAGGGAGAAAGTCAAATACCGTATGATCTCACTCATAAGTGGAAGATAAAAACAACAAACAGTCACATAGAGACACAGATTGGATTGGTGGCTACCAGAGGGGAAGCAGGGAGGGAGGAAGGCGAAAGGGATGATTAGGCACATGTATATCGTGATGGATTGTAATTAGTCTATGGATGGTGAATGTGATGTAATCTATACAGAAATAGAAATATAATGATGTACACCTGAAATTTATATAACGTTATAAACCAATGTTACTGCAATAAAAAAAATAAAATAAAGTAAAATGTATTTTTCCAATTAGACACATAAGTCATGTTCACTGAAAAAATTTGGGAGGTGCATAAAATTGTTCAGAAAATAGCAGTGGGAAAAATCACTTATAATCCCATCCTCAGAGATAAACACTGCAATGCTTTGGTGTATATCCTCCCACTAATTTTTTTCTTTCCATTTATGTTATTTTCTCTGGTTGGGATTTTGCTTTTTTTTTTTTACACTTATATCATGAGTATTTCCTATGTGTTAAATATTCTTCAAAAATATGACACATAATGCTTGCTTTGTATTCCAACACAGGATCAAACTATTGCTATTTTTGGACACATAGATTGCTTCTAACTTTTCGCTATTGTATGCAATCCTGCAAAGAATATCTCTGAATAATTTTTCATATACATCTTTGTTTATTTTATTTGATAAATTTCTGGAAGTAGAATTACTAAATTAAGAGGATAAAAAGTTTTTAAGACTTTTGATGTACCTTATAAAAAAGTTTTACCTCTATTCACATAAAGAATTCTTACCATTATTGGGTATTGTCAAAATTTTAATCGAAAAAAATAGGATTTCCTTGTTTTAACGTGCAGTTATAGGGAGATTAAACAATTTTTCATGCGTGTAACGCCCACTAGTATTTCTTTTTTTAAAAAATTATTAGTTTATGTTCTTTATCCTTATTCCTGTTGAAAGACCAAACACCAGGCCACTGCACGATATTTAGCATCTCTAAAGCCAGTTTGATGTTGTGGCGAAAGCATTTGACTGAAAGGTGGGAGATATAAGTTCTAGTTCCCATTCTGGCACTTACTATTTGTGGCGCTTCGCACAAGTCACTTAACCTCTTTGGTCTCACTTTCCCATCTATCAGACGAAGATGCTTAACTGGATAGATCTAAGGGCAGTGCCAGCACTACCATTTCACGAGCCTTTCATATTGGGTTTCAAAGGCATGCCCAGCTCCTTTCTTTCTGAGGAAAGTTTTAGAGGGATATTTCTCACATTGCAACCTGGCCAACCAATCAAAGGAAGTAAAAGTCATTTTGACAATATAATTACGTTTCATTTGAATCCTATGTAAAATTACTTGGAGGAGAGAGAACTGATAAAAAGTTTGGAGTAATTTATTTTATATATTTATCCACTGGTTTTGATTAATGTTTGAATTACTGGGGAGAGTATCAGCATTGCTCATGAGTTAACACAAGAAGAGCTTATGCTCTTCTTATACATACAAGAGGGTCTCAGGACCACAAAAACTAGGGACTATTGAAATTACCCACCCAAAAATGGGGTCTATCTATTTAAATGTAGTACTGACTCTGTGATGTACAAGACGGTAATATTCTTTAAGAGTGGAAGGCAAAGTCTGAGATGTATCCTGGTCTCTTGTAGTCTGTCTCTTTTCTTGTAGGAAAACTAGGATCTAGCTCCTGTTAGTAAGAATATAAGTTATATGTGACCATACAATGAGAGGAAAATACTTTTTAACTCCTAAGTTACAATTGGATGCTCTGCCTAATGACTTCTCACCTTGGGAAGCTATGTTAACTTATTCTAGCTACCAGGGACTGTTAGTAAATTCTAATTGGGTTTCTAGGCACTTTGAAGTCTGTGGTCTTAGAAGAGGTGACTTCACTTCTCAAAACACAGTATCTATGATAAGGTGTAACTGGAAGGAAGGCACTGGAGGCTCTGGCTACAAAAGTGTGTGTGTGTGTAACGTAATAGATATAGTTAATAAGTACAAATGAGATAGATGACAAATGACAATCTTACTGGTCTGTGTTTCTGTCTTTTCTCTGCATTTGTGGGAGGTAGTTTCCTCTTCAGCTGTTTAGTTAATACATTGATTTTCTTTTCGTTGTCTCCTGTATTTGCTGACTTTAGTTGAACCTTCTGAAAACATGAAAAAGCTGACAGCTCACAGTGTCTCTGAAAGAGAAGTAATTTGTGTATATATTAACAAGTTATTCAGAAAGTAAAAATGATCCTCACAACCTCTTTTTTTCTTCTACTACAGTGTCTTGGATCACATTCATTTCAGTAGACAAGTGAGGAATGATTTCATGTCTTACTTAATCTTTGGGCTGATTAAGGAGGCTCCTACAAAGTAAAATTTCCCCTTGTGTTAGGGAAGAGAGGACATTTCCTTGCTTCACAGACAAGAGCAAGGAGCCTCACTCTTCCACACTTCTTTATTCCTAATGCCATTTTGAGGTCTGGGTGGTGGGCAGGACCTTTATGTATTGTAGGGGAGAGTTATTTGGTTTTAGAACACATTTTCTGAATTATGAGGCTCTAAGAGTTACACTGGGAGTGGTGGCAGCTTTGGGTGAGTTATGCCGTAGTCTGATTAAGAATCTTTTTCGTTTGTTTTTGTTTCTCTCTACAATGTACGTAGGAGTATCTAACAGTGACGTGTCTTGAGCATCATCTTATCCTGCACAACACTTGGCATAGCATCTTGTTGCTAGTGAATGCTCCATAAATATTTGTAGAGTCAACAAATGAAGTAAATGAGTTAAAGCCCCTCCTTTGGGGAAAGGAAGTGATACCTACCTCTGATGGCATATTCTACACCTAATATTCAAAACACCTGCCATAGACCACACATGACTATTCTAAAATCCTATTCACACTCTCAGGTCAGCCAGGGTAGGATTCCGCCTGAATCAAGCAGTGAAAGAACAGAATTTGAGGCTTGCCCAACCAATAGGAGGGAAGACTGTTCCTTAGAAAGTAGGAGTAGTGTCTCAGAGAATGGAGAAGTGGACAGAACAAGGATCAAAAACTGGTCTCTTGGTTTAGTCAAATAACTAGTGACTAGTGAATAAGTCAAAATCTTAGAAATCAAACTGAAAAGGAACTGGAATTTATTGGAAAAACAAAATTTATGCTGACCAATGAAAACATTTTAATGCTGATCTAAGAACTTGTATCAAAGTTACTTTTTTCTCTTAGCAAATGTGTGTATATGATGCTATTCCTCCCCCTCCCCCCAAATTGCTATATCTTCATTTCACTAATATGTGTGGAAACCACTGCAACATAACCAGAGACCTCAGTGTCTCTCAGCTCCTACAAGGGCAGCCCCATATTTAATAATATTACCTGAGTCTTCTCATGGACAATCAGCTGAAAATAGCATCTAGCCTGCTTTGCATTTTCCAACCCATATGCTTACCCAATATGAATGTTGATTAATAACATGCATCTTTAAGACACAGCCCCATCAGGTTTGCTTTGCATACTTTGCCACAAGCCGAGAACCAGCTTATCTGGTTTCCTTATATCAGAGCAGCTTGCCTCTCATTAGGGCAAGGTAGTGTCCTTTCCATATGTTTGCCAAAATGCTTATTTAATAGAAACTATTTATAAATGTTAATTATAGCACTTTTTTTTTCCTTGAAAACCACATGTTCATGTTTGTTGAAGTTTTTTCTTTTCTCTTCTTTTTGACCACAACCGGCTTAACTTACTGGAAAAAAATAATATTCATATTTAAAGAGGTAAATTTTCCAGCTGAAACTGAAAACACTAACTGCTTCATCCGTGATGATCTGAGAAACCAGCATTTCTCACAGAGGCCCATTTTGCTGAGTTAACATTTACATGTGTATGCTGAAAGAAAATTAGGTTCCAAAGAAGTATAGGGGCCCTACCGAACGAACTCCCTTGAGGCAATATTGCCAGGAATGGTCAAGACCAGTGATGAAAGATTTTACACCTGAGAAAGCCCTTCCAAAAGCCTCTGAATGGCATCTGGACTGATGCCCATCCTGACGGGGCTGTGCTCTCTCTCCTGCCCTTCCTCGTTCACCTGCGTCAACAGACAATGGTATTTTGTTTTGTGCTTTCTGCAAGCAGCGGGGCTGTCCCTGGCAATGTGTGGTCCAGAACAAATAACTGCTAGATTTGACTTCAGATGCACATCAAAGGCAGCCTCAAAGAGGAAAAGAAGTGGAGGAGCTGTCCTGCTAACTGATTTAAGAATGTGTTGTGATGGGGAGTGGAGAGATGAATCTTGATTCAGGCAGCTGCAGGTACCCTGTCACTTATGGGGTTTACAGGATGGCCCCAAGTTCATGTGTACCACCACCATCTGGGAGCATAACCGTTGCCCTCCTTTGCTGTGCCTTGGTAACAGCAGACTCTGAGGGCAAGACTTTCTTTCCCTCATCCCTGAACACATGAAAACATGAGGACTCTTCTGTTCTGCATTAGTTTTGCAGAACAGAGGGAGCAGAAAGGAAGTCAAAAGCAAGAGTAATAAACCACTCCTCTCTTAGCCAGAGAACAGTCAAGTGCTGCTTTTGCAAGGAGGCACACTCGTCTTTGTTGTTTTGCAATTGAGTATTTGAAAATATTTGCCTCCTTACAGCTTATTTTTAACCTACTTTTTTTTTTTTTTTTTTTGCAAAGAAAGCCCTAGCCATTCACACTAGGAAGTCTTGCTAACTGGGCAAAATTACCTTTGCCCCACACACAAATTAGTTTTATATCAGGGTATCTCAACAGTGGCATTATTGACATTTGGGGCTGGATAATTCTTTGTTGTCTGGGCTGTCCTGTGCATTCTAGAATGTTTAGTAGCATCCCTGGCCTCTACCTACTAGATACCGGTAGAAACCCCACACACACACACAATTGTGCCAGCCAAAAATGTCTCCAGACAATGCCAAATGTTCTCTGGGGGCAAAACCGCCACCAGTTAAGGACCGCTGGTTATATAATTAGAAAGAGAAAGAAAGATGCCTGGAGAGGCCATATAGAGATTTTGAATAATCACTATATATTAACATTTCTATGCAACATTTAAATGAATTTATTTTCACTAAACTTTTTAATCTTCTTAAATCTCTTATAGCTCCTGCTTTGATGCTAGCCCTGAAAAACTTGATATAACACTACTGTAGCCTTGAACTATTTTCTTCCTTCCTGAGTTTGCCTGCTAGCATAGCTTCAAGATCTTGGTTATACCATCACTCACTTGTATCATAGCCAGCATTGCTTGATGAGATTCTCAGACAGATACAGTGTCACTGAGACAAAGTTCTCTCGTTATGATGTAAGATAAAAAATATCTCTCTTTAACAAAGCATATAAGAGAAGTACCCACCGAATCAACTCAAGTTAGAAAATGGGATATCTTTCTTATTTCTTATTTTGCAAGTTATAGACTGCAGCTAGGAAACTCCAGAAAGGACTCTAACCAGAACAGTAAAACAAGGATGCTATTAAACGGAGATGTGAGATGCTGAAAATGTATGTTTTGATAATTAGGACATTGATTAAGAAATATTCTTAGTTATTGGAAAAGTCTTTCCAATAAGCTGAATGTGCTACTTTCATTTTAGATGCTGCTTATTAGAAAAGGACCTAGTAAATGAGAGTGGTTAGGTTCAGAGCTAGAGAGTGAATTTTAGAGAAAAGCAATAGTTCTGACTCATTCACTTTCTAAATTTTTACACATAGTCATTTACGATAATTGTTTTCTTTGCAATGTATCTTCATGTCTCCCCCTTTGTAGTGTCCTAATTACTGGTAGCACTTTTATAGTTATTCTAATTTATGCAGTTGAAAGTCTGTGACAATGAAAACATTTCCCCAATTGCGTTTTTATCCTCAAGGTACCAAACCTGAAGACTAGATCGAAGTTACCAAGGAAAAGATCATCACGCAGCAGTCCTGAACTATATGCTAGGCCTCTTCTTCCTGGATCTAATGGATTTAAATGGCTTAAGAGAACGGGATGAGTTGTTGAAAATGGTCCTTTCAAAAGACCTCACCGAAGGCCAAAGACGAGACTCACTGAGGCCAAGGTATATGGGAATTATATTCTAAAGGATTTCCACACTACCATTCCTTCATGCTGTTCCTGTGATCTGTCTTTCTTTCCTTCTCTCTCTTTCTTTCTTTCTTGTCATTAAAAGGTGAATTCTTCTTGTGGTATGTATCTAATTTTCTTAGGTTTACAAAGAGGGCTCAAGAGCTTACATGAACAAGGGCTCTTAAAATGTAATTAGTTGATCATTGTTCAGAAACTGACCATAGTATAGATTTGTTTTCTAGTTTTGTTATTCTGTCTCAACAATACTCCTTGGGAGTACTCTTAGAAATATTTGGAGATAAAAAAATATTTTATAAGGTATGTAGTGTTTTATTGGTTGGCTTGTTGAATATTTGACCAAAATAGAAATAACTATTTCACCAACTATTAAACCCCCAAATTCATTGAAATTAAGTATATTCCTAAATAATCATGTTAATTCCTTTCTGAATTGGATTTAAAAATTTATATCAAATATACTTCACAAATAAATTCAACTGGTCTTACCTTTACATCTTCTGGAGCTGGCAGAAATTCAGGGTCCTAGAGCAAAAGAAAATTGGTTCTGAGTTATTTTTATAAGTCAAAAAGCTCCTTTTATATTAATTGAAGAATATTATTTGAATTTTGTTGTGACAAGTATGGCCTTACCAAGTCATTCACATAATTTTTCAGCTCATCAACAATATCTATAAGTTGACGCATTCTAATCAAAAGGCGATCTTGGCCTTGGAAGCTTGATTTATGGGCCACAGTCCCCAAAAAGATGACCATCAGGCAGATGACTATCCTCTCCATGTTGCCAGGACTGGATCTCATAAGTGCCAGTAGAACAAGACCTTGGTCTCAGTTTTCACTTCAGTTTGACTGTGAACAGTTTGTCAGTAAAGCTACCTATTTATTCATCCTTCAAGGAGAGGTAAAGCCCTCCCATTGCAGCCTGGAAATCTTTGTAGAATGGATGAATGTGAGTAACTCGTTTTTCTTTTCCACTGGCTAGGTATACGTGTGCATGTGCTAATGCGTGGGGGCAGGGATTGATGGAGTTAACGAAATGTGCCCCATCTGCATCTTAGACAGGAAAAAGAGAGAAATGGGTGAATTCCAATTTTCAGCATGAATCAAGAAGTGTGCATGGTAAACAGTAGGTACTACAAGACTTCAAAGAAGTAAACAAAAATACTTTGATCTCTCTTTCTCTGCCTCCCCTAGCGTCTTACCTGTTCCCTCTGACAGTCATAAGGGCATTTCAATAATGAGTAAAGTGGCAACATGTGCTTTCTTGCAGGACTTTTTCTTATGGTAATAACTATGCCTTTTGACTGAAATCATCCAGTATTCCTTCACAAAGGTAGGAGGAGAGCTACCTGTTAGAAAATTTTAAATATCAGGGGTATTTTCCATATTAGCAAGAATATTTTAGGTTCTTAATCAGGCTAAAGGGTTTAAAGTAGAATTTGCTTCCAACTCTTCCCCAAAGCATCTTTAAGTAACATTAATCTTGGCTTCTAACATTTTAGTTAACAATCTGATTTATACATATCATAAATGATCCTAAGGAACTCTGCAGACATTCATCCCACCCCTCATCAAGGTCTCACTCTACCTTCATTAAAAAAAAGAAAACTCTCTGACGTCCATCTCTTCTATATAATGCATCAATTAAATGAATGAAAAGTGCTAATACTCATTCCTGTTCAAACCAAAAATGTTTTTCAAACAGAAAAATCAAAAATACCCATAAATGATTCTTTTCCTCTTTGGGTAGTATTACTTATTTCTGTTAGATATAATTTCCTCTGGGTAAGAGCGACACATTTCTAACTATGACCAGGTAGCGGTTAATAAAAGACTCAAAGTCCAGAAGTGATTGTATCATCCTCCACTCTGCTGCTTCTCTTGTCTCTGCTACTCTTTACTTATTTGATAAAGTGGGATATAATGTTTTAGCCAGAAGTAGTTTTGTACCACAGTTGGTTGGGACTTACAAATAAACTCTTGACTACAGATTTTATTTATTCGTTTATTTCTTCATCTATTTTATTACAGGCTTATAGCTATACTTTATTCTAGAATGTTATGTAGCCAAGATAAACTGAAGTTTGGATTTGATTTGCTTTGAAGGTTGACTGTAATCTTTTTATCATAGAATATCTATTCAAGAGTATTCAGGTTTGGTCTTACAGAATAGGTAAGGATTCTTACTCTATGATCAAGAAGTGCTCGCTATAATTCTATAGGGAAGGATTCTGTGTAAACCTATGAAATGCGTATGGACTAGGGGTTGCCACTTGGCACCTCGACACCGCCTGCATCGTCTTTGTACGTGCTTTCCTTATCTGCCTAGTGAGTAACCAAGGAGACTCGCATCTCTTTAGGCAGATAAGGAAAGCACGTACAAAGACGACGCAGGCAACATCGAGGTACCAAGTGGCAACCCCTAGTCCACATGCATTGGAGACACTAACCACAGTGGTTAAGAGCTCAATTTCTAAATCAAAGTGCTTGAGTTCAAATCCAGGCCCTAACAATTAACAGCACATATGACCCTGGATACGTTATTGCAAAAGGAAAATAAGTATAGAATCTCATTGTAGGGTTCTGGTAAGGCTTAAATAGATATTCCAAGTAAAAC